GGTAACTCATGCACATGCATGCTTACTGATACACCAAACCAGCCAGAATATTCCCCAAAATATACTCGTCAGTTTTAAACCTGGTTATTAAAATAACGTGTTACAATTTGATGGACTTCTTTAATCAAACCTTTGGGCACGCCAGAAATCTATGATAGTGGGTTCGAATCCCGGTTCGCCCTAATTATGTTTCTAGGTTTGTCAGCACCATACCCGTGCTCGTGGGTTTCACCAAAGTGTAAACATCTGAGACCTGCATCACTTCGGGCTTTCCTCCCACATGAAGCTGACACACCGTGATATAACTGGAATACTGTTAAAAGCGGCGTTAAACACAACTCACCAATCACATTTCCTGATATGTTATATAGCATGATTTTTCAATATCTGCAGAACAAGTAAGTACTAAACAGACCAGTCCAGGCGAAAATACACTTCCATGTTGGATAGGAATTAGGACAGTGTTGGATGGTTGGTTTTTGGTTGGCTGTTTTTTTTAACGCCGCGCTCAGAAATATTCCAGCTATATGACATGAGTCTGTAAATAATCGAGTCTGGACCAGATAATGCAGTGATTAATATCATGAGAATCGATGCACGCAAATGGGATACGATGACATGCAACAACCAAGTAAGTCAGCCTGACCTCCCGATCCCGTTAGTCGCCTCTTACGACAAGCATAGTCGCCTCTGACAAGCATGGGTTGCTGAAGACCTGTTCTAACACGGATTTTCACGGGTCTAACTAGAACAACAAGCTCACTTAGGAAATTTTAGTAGACATTTATGGGAATAAAGAAGAGAGAAGAAGAAGAAGAAAATTGTTTTATTAAAGTGTCACATGCTGCAGTACTAAATATATGGACATATAAACATTTCATTAAAAAACAGCACCCGGCCAGTTGGCCTACGAGACACTAATTACATAATGGTACATTTAAAATATTTTTAAAAAAAAAATAATAATAAAAAAAATATAAAAAAAAAAAAAGATTAAAAAAAGAAGAAAAAAAAAAAAAAAGGGAAAATTAGTTGCAACTTTGTATATTACTACACCCACACTCACACCGATACACCCACACACACATCCGCATTAAAATCCCGCTCAAAGCATTCAAACAGGTAAGCATACAAACAGGTAAGCATACAGGACGCTCACAGCAATCTCATACAGGACACTCACAGCAGTTTCATACAGAACACTCACAGCAATCTCATTCAGAACACTCACAACAATTTCATACAGAACACTCACAACAATCTCATTCAGAACACTCGCAGCAATCTCATACAAAACACTCACGGCATTCTCATACATGTCATACATTTATACACATATGCGTCCATATACACACAACTTTATACATCAATCGTGTATACTAACCTACATGTATAACTAGCATACATACTAACATACCAACCTATATACATACCTATATTCATCAAACATAAATCAATCCTTATTATACATACACAGGTCCATCCATACCTATGTCCGTTTAAACACACCTCAATCCAAATATACTAACACACATACAACCATACATCCATACCTATATTCATCCATACACATATCGATCCATATATACATACACACATACAACCATACCTATATCCATCCATTCACACCTCAGTCCATATATACATATACATATACACATACAACCATACCTATATCCATCCATTCACACCTCAGTCCATATATACATATACATATACACATACAACCATACAAGTGTCGTACTGAATACAGTATGAACATACATTAAATACAACAGATGATATAAATGAGAGGCACTGTGTACTAACGTACATAATAAACATCATTTAGGAATCGACACATACACGGAACTATTCAGATATTGCAAGCAACATCGTTGACCCAGGGCAGGTACTGCCGAATCGAACAGACCGGAGCATTATGGAACGGGTCTCTGATTGACGTGACACGGTACTCAGAAACTTCTGTGTCTCCAGGACCACACGAATAACTGTCACAATAACAAGAGCGCTAGTGTCTGTTGAAATGAAATCACTCTAACATTGTGCTTCTGTATATGTGTGACGTCTATGTCGATTTCAAATAAGAGCGTTACTTTTGAACTAAAATTCTACCTCGATCCTAAGAGTGTAATAACGCCGTGGCCACATGAGCGTGTTTGTAAAGAGAGGCCACCCTCCTATAACATAGACATCCAGCGATATATTATAAACCCATGGTATAGTTGCTATAACTGTATTTCAACGGTAAAAATCTTTGATCAAAATGTCAACTTCAGCACATGAAAAGACAACAGGTGCTGATTTTGAAGCTATGCGGGGATACATGCAGCTTGTTGGAGACACGATCCATGTCATCCCAGAGGTGTTCTATTGGGGACATGTCTGGAGAGTGTGCAGGTCACGGCAACACGATGACGTTGTTGGCTGCAAGAAAGTTCATGGTGATTCGGACTGTATTAGTATGGGATCTTACGTTGCCGTGATGGTAAAGGACACGTCGTGGCAGCTGTTGTAGAAATGGTAGGACAATAGGACGAAGAATGTCATCCATGTAAGGCTGAACTGTCAAATTTCCGTTAACGAGGACCAGTGGTGTTCTCTCCTGCCCACACATTCCTCCCCACACCATAACACCCCCTTCACCATACGGCACGACCTCGTGAACGAAACATTGATTCCGGGGATGCAATGTAGGCAAGTATAGGTCTTCTTTGGGCGTGGTTACCCTGTGTCAGCCTGTTCTTTCCCTGTCTGGTTGTCTGCCCGGTCTGTCTGTAACGTTGCATCAGGGTAGTTACAGCAACCAAAAGGTCTAGCATAGTGGGCATGGGTGGTTCCCATCTGAATCATACCCAGGGCCAATTCACCTTGTTCAGGTGTCAGTTGTGGCATTTCTGTGATGTTTTCTTTGTCAGTGTGAGTGTATGAGTGCCGCCCGTATCATTAATATACCCTTATTGTACGTGTAGTTTTGGCTTCGCAAGGGGCACGTTGTTTTTTCACTTTCTCGCATTTTCTACCAAAAAAAGGTACCTTGGAAATGGATCACTTTCTGCACACAGCATTGTTGTGTGTGGGCGATGTGTTTTGCATTGATTTAGTATATACTTGGGTTTTTATTTTTTTGCAATTTCATTTTTAAAGTGATAAAGTTTGTTTTGTCCGTCAGTTTATGTGTATACAAGCATGGGGTACTGAGGGGAACGTCTGACCAGCTTTCCCCATGGGAAGGACCAAGACACAATTCCACAAATAATTCATCAGGAAATTAATGGACATTTGTATGATGGCCTTGACAGCTGAGATACCCATGTTTTCGCGACCATATTTCACACACGCCACAGAGAGTATAAACTGGCAATCCATCTTTTCAGCGCTTCTCTTATTCTCTCTCTATAGCTTGGTGATGTCAAACACAGTCAGACGGTAGTTATTAACTGCTGTTATCTCGTACATGTGTAACACATTAAATACCAGGCAATTTGTATAGATTTTTAAAAAAAACCACATAATTGTTTATTCACGTTTTCAGCTATCATATAGAGAATCTCACCCGAGTGTCTTTTGATATCAAATATATCAACACGAGTTGATAAAAGTGGAAAAAATCCTCGGCAAGCCTCGGAGTTTTTCCACTTTTATCAACTCGTGTTGATATATTTGATATCAAAAGACACTCGGGTGAGATTTTATTTATCATCCAACATTATTTTCATCAATGTCATTGCAGCGATATCTACAGCGTAGATATCGCTTGATCTCACCCAAGCGATATCTCCTGTGGGAGCCAGTTTGGGATGATAAATGGCCTTCTGTCCTTATACCTGCGTGAATCTGACGCAACCGGTTCTCTCTAGTGCTGTTTCCATTACCCCAAGAGGCAAAGAAGTGCATGTAAACTTGGCTTATTTAGACCCCGAATCCCGCGTACCAAAACGGGGTTAGCAGCCTGACATAGCCTAGTACTCAACTCAATCACCTATCCCGTACGTTTTGTTTGTTACGTTGTTTAACGCCGCACTCAGCAATATTCCAGCTATATGACGGCTGTCTGTAAATAATCAAGTCTGGACCAGACAATCCAGTGATTGACATCACGAGAATCGATCCACGCAATTGGTATACGATGACACGCATCAACCAAATCAGCGATCCTGACCACCCGATCCCGTTAGTTGCCTCTTACAACAAGCACAGTCGCCTTTTACGGCAAGCATCTTCACAGGTCAATCCCGTACGTGGTCAGTTAACTGGTCACACCAAATGCACCCCTCCTTTTAACAAAATGCATCTGCCCTTTCTTCAAGAAGATTTCTGTCAGAGAGAAAAAACAGATCTACAAATTTGTATAAGTTAATCGTTTATACTATAATCTTATGTTTTAAGATTTAAGGCTGTCAACTGACATGGCTGCCAACATGTAACTTTATTTATCACTGCATTCATAAGGTACCAAGTTTAACTCGGATCAATTAATTCCAACAAATCTGCTTATGTAACGTAATCTGTTAACATAAGAATCTAATATGCCGCTCCAATACACTCTCAATATGGACAAGGTATGGACACGAACTCGCTCCGACACAATGGAGGAATTATACTCTGCTTAATATAAGAAATATGATTTATGTATGCTTGATCGCCCACAATAATCTGGCGATTAAAAGGCAATAACTTCTCAGCCGTGTTATTATTAACAGGACTCGGTGTTGAATGTTCTCAATTGTCTGGTTCTATACCGTTCGATACGAATAGGTGTCGACGACAATGGCTGTGCGTCCGTGTATTGGTGTTTTCTTAAGAGCTTGATTTGAATAACAAAACATTGTCGGGCTAGCCATTTCTACAACATCAACGAAGTAACTCCGAGGTTATAATTTGCTGTTATAAAAAGTAAAAAATGAGGAAATGATTGGTTATTGATCTGACTTCACAGATCGATTTACAGGCTGACAAGCAGGTGGCTTGGTGTTGCTATGTGACGTCACAAGGGTAAGCTCCCAACTCGTGCGGTGGCCTCGCAAATTCAGCATGGCCGCGAACACATTGTAAACATTGCACGAGAGACTTGGGGATATATGGAACATTTCGTGACATTGATCAGGTAAAACAACTGCATCTTGTTTGAAACAGAAACATAGAACATTATGTGGTGATCGACTTTGATGTATGTATACAACTGCCATATCCGAGGGACGGGTGGGTTACCGTTACACTGTGTCATATGGCAACTACATAGTGAATATACCTATCTAAATCTGCCTAGGAAGTATTATTTACCCAATCGCGAACACAGCCTGTCTTGACTCTGTTTTCGTGCAGGCAACTTGTCAACCGTGACATACTATTTACAACTTACTGCTGGAGAAGTTACTGCCTTTATCACTGACTTTATATGACTGGTGTATGATTTAAAGGTCAACGGTGAACTTTTTATAGGCATGTCCCCAGTATAAAGAAAATTAGTTAGACCAGCATACAATTGAACGTATATGAGTCATTTCAAATTAGCTAAACTTTGAAAACGGATACATCTCTTTTGAAATGTGAATTAAGAAATGTGAAGAGAGGTCATTTCATTTTGCATTTTGAACGGGTATTGTTTAGAGGCTTTAGATAATTGACAGTCTTATCTCGTTTCCTTTAAGTCATTCAAAGAGCTTTGTTTGCCTTCTAGCTTGAATGGGGCGGTGGGATAGCCTAGTGGTAAAAGCGTTTGCTCGTCATGCCAAAGGCCCAGGTTCGATTCCCTACATGGGTACAATGTGTGAAGCTAATTCCTGGTGGCCCCCGCCATGATTTTGTTGGAATATTGCTAAAATTGACATGAAAACATACTCAGTCACAGTATCATGTCTATCAACCTATAGAAGTTAGGATTATTTGATCCAGAGATAAGTTCATGGGGTTCATCCCTCCCCCTTTTCTTAGCACACCCTATACTGGGTTGTATGAACCTTCTTAAATGTTAGACCCCCCTCTGCATATTACCCTAATTAAGCATTGCCCTTGACTGGACACAATCAACAGACCATGGAGCTTAATCCCTCTTAAAGGAGGGACGGACATGAAAGTTGATTTTTTCAGCTCTGTCTATTGTTGTGGGTATTATTTAATGGTAAGGCCTCACCAAAGTGATTATTTGTTTATCATGTCATTGTCACCCAATTTTCTTAAGTTGCTATTTGAATTTTACTGATTTAAGGAAAACCAAATTTTTCTGTAAATATAGTAAATACCTATAGGAACAATACCTCACTTCTGAGGCTTTAAAAAAGATTCAGAAAAAGACTTCCCTAAATGTCTAATCATTTGTAGTGCATTCTTTAACACAATCTGTTTCAAGGCATGTTGGTTGTATAAGTCGTAGACCAGACCAATTTCTGTCCTTGTTTTACAGACAAATCTATCCCAATGTCACAAACTTCAGAAATAGATTAATTTATGATACTGTTTGATTGACATGCTTGTTTGATCATTTGTTTGAATGTTGTGAGACATATATATTTCTTGGAAGATAACCTCAAACCAACCTCAACCTCGAAAAGATTTCTTTTTTCCTATTCTACTGCTTTCTTTTAGGCATATTGACCAAATAAATTTTAAAACCAAACAACTTAATTATTCTATCCATATAAAGGAATTATTATTTCAGTGCCAAAAAAACAAACTGCAATGTTATTTCTTTTGACTGAAAATCTATTTCATTTCTGTCAGTTTGCTATGGCTTCAAGCAATGAAAAACAAAAAATTATATTTTCTTGTTTATAAACCTGATATGAACATCGAGTAGTTGTTGTTACTGCAATTCTATGTCTGAACAAGGGACAATATCTTAATTTAGCACCATATACATGTACAACATTGATATCGTATTGATAAAGATATCATTGAACACAATACATAATGTTACACCTTGCCTCATTGTACTGCAAGCATACGTCTGCTTCATGGCGCTGTGGTCAAGGCCAGGTTGTTTATTTGTTTGTTTGTTGTTTAACACCGCACTCAGCAATATTCCAGCTATTTGACGGTGGTCTGTAAATAATCGAGTCTGGACCAGACAATCCAGTGATTGACATAAGCATCAATCCATGCAATTGGGTTGGTTGGTTGGTTGGTTTGTTGTTTAACGCCGCACTCAGCAATATTTCAGCTATATGACGGCAGTCTGTAAATAATCGAGTCTGGACCAGACAATTAAGTGATTGACGTCATGAGCATTGATCAACGCAATTGGGATACGATGGCATGTATCAACCAAGTCAGCGAGCCTGACCACCTGATCCCATTAGTCGCTCTTATGACAAGCATAGTCGCCTTTTACAACAAAAATGTGTTGCTGAGCACCTATTCTACCCCTGATCTTCGTTGGTGAGATTCTCTTTAACCAATTGGGTAAGAATAGGGTTAGAAAATCTGACAATAACTTTTTGTTAATAAGATACTCAGAGCAATCATCTTGACCATCTTTGTGGTTCCAGAGTCGAGAGATATTCTAGCTGAGGCCCTAAATTCAGTGTTTCCCAGTGGGATGATGGATGCCAGCTGTTGACTCCCCATCATGAATGTAAACCCCTCGCACCGCCGGTCTGGAATACCGGTCACCAAGAATATGCCCCACGTCTCTGCCAGCATGCCTGGCCGACACCAGCCCCGGAATATGACCGGGATTTACCTCGGGCTGGTAAGTCAAACGTGAACAGAAACCAGGGGAGGTAATGCAAATGAAGAAACGATCAGTTATTGTACCCTGCCACAAAGTGGAAGTGGGTTATAGGAATGGATGCCGTCCATCTGTCCATCCTTCCTTCCATCTATCCATCCGTCCTTCTGTCATGTTTCGTTTCTGGAGCAGAACTAAAAAAACATAGGACAGATAGGCCTAATGGCGAACTGGTGCCTTTTGATAGTTCGGGATTTAAAAAAAAAATTATTTTGAGTTTCAATGGCAACGACTTTAACTGAGACTGATAATGGCGGAAGTGATCCTTTCGGGAGCAGATCACCAAACTTGGCACAGAGATAGGTCTAGTGGTAAACTCCTGCCTTTTGATAGTTTGAAATTTTTTAAATAAAATATTTCTCGAGTTTCCACAGCACCGACTTTGACTTCGACTGAAAATGGTGGTAGCGCTCAGTATGGTTACATTAAAAGTCACTAATGTTCATATTTCTTTCTGACTATGCTACATTCCTTCTTACTTTCATATGTTTGAGACCCGTGAAGATCCGGGGTAGAATGGGTCTTCAGCAACCCATGCTTGCCGTAAAAGGCGACTATGCTTGTCGTAAGAGGCGACTAACGGGATCGGGTGGTCAGGCTTGGTGACCTGGTTGAAGCATGTCATTGATCCCAATTGCGTGGATCGATTCTCATGATATCAATCACTGGATTGTCTGGTCCAGACTTGATTATTTACAGACCACCATCATATAGCTGGAATATGTGCAGCGTAAAACAACAAACCAACTAACCAATCATATGTTTGAATCAAGATAAAGCTACGGTCAACTTCAGTGTATGCATGACCAGATCGATTTATATCTATCTATTCCTATCTAAATTGTTTTTGCCAGACTCTGCTGAAACAATTTCCAATCGGACATTTTGTACCCAACTTTTGAGACCTGTAGTGAGTGCTCGGGTAGCGTTGGTAGTCGTGGGTTGGGTACCCAGGTAGTAAATTTGGACTCATTCCAGCCCTAGTGCCAATTCCCTTGTATTCTTTGCCATGATTTCAAAGCCTTAAATAGCTTACAGTTTATTGTTAGACCTTGATTGTAGTCTGGGTTGAAACTGTGTAAGTGTTCTGAATCGATACCCTTGTCTCTTCTAACAAAGTGTTATTTATTGATAAAAATGGATATTTGTTTACTGCAGGTCTGATTACAATTTAATCGTCATTTCATGACATATATCTAAACAATAAATGTAAGAAGCTTGATATTGATGTCAACTATTGTTGTTTTGTCTTGACATCAATATATTGCCACCAGACCATGGCCAATTACAAAGTTTCTATAGTTCAACCCCATAGTCTTACACCTCACGTTATTAATGTTTCCATGTCATAGGGATACATGTAGGCAGGCTGAAATGTAACCTAGTATCTACCCTTGCCAGAGAATGAAAATGTGGGATAATAACTGATATAAGAAAGAAACAACTGCCCACAAGAATGTTGTTAAAGGGAGTTCTGTTGCTTCGTAGGTCAATACAGTGTGATTGGCTGGGGATTAAAACTAGGGTTGGGATGGGTAACTCAGGTACCAAGGTCGGGTGGGTACTGAGTAGGACCCGGTACCCACAGGACTACCCGGACCCGTGGTTAGTTACGTGATATATTGTTTTATGACAAAAACTCAGCTCAGTGGTTACACTACAGTTCGCTAATGTTCGCATTTCTTTCTGACTTTTCATATGGTTGAATAAAGATATCGCTTAAGTCAACTTCAGTGTATGCTTGACCAGATTGTTTAATACATGTATCTAAATATGTTTTGCCAATCAGACCTTTTGTACCTTTCTCTTGAGACCTACAGTGGGGTACCTGGGTAGGGTCTGGTAATAGGGGAGTCGGTATGCGGGTAGGAAATTTAGACTCGTCCCAGCTCTAATTAAAACCATTCATTCTCTTGGGACAGATATCCGTAATTCTTCAAAGCTTGTTGGTTATTCTTTATATTATTACTGATCATTCTGAAGTCATTCTGTCATCGTATCCCAATTGTGTTGATCTATGCTCATGATGTCAATCACTGGATTGTCTGGTCCAGACTCGATTATTTACAGACCACCATCATATAGCTGGAATATTGCTGAGTGCGGCGTTAAACAACAAACCAACCAACATCACAATTCAACTTCAAATATCAGTGTGATGTGACTCACAATAACAGAAAATGATTGACTGCAATATCCATGTTCTCCACCCATGTTTAGGAAGGCAACATAAAGCCCCCTGGGTCCCACGGTCCTGTCCCCCCACTGGCCAGAGGGCGTGGCTTGTCCTCCAGGATCCGGACCACGGCTGAGGACAGGCGATATGTGAGTGTGTTACCTCCCTGGTGATGGCAGTGTATGGTGTATAACTGTGTATCCCATCTCTAACATCTAGTGGACTGCAACATAGTAACACAGCCCTGTCTAGACTACTAATTTGGATTGTTGTAGTAAAATAAAGTGCAACCTTTTGATACAGATACTATTGCAGAAACATCCAAGAAAATGACTGTTTAACATTTTATAATGATTGTTGAACAAAATGAAATTTATTTTCAAGAAAAGATAATGTTGAAAAATAAAAGTTCACTGAAAGTATTTTTACAAATCATGTAATAGATGTATCATGGAAGCGGACTGTCCACAGGAACACCTGTTATAATCACTATTTGATATTTAATCATATACAGAAGCTTATGATATAGTCAGAATCATACTCTGCTTTTAGTAGAGATTTCTTATGATAATGGAAATATTTTTGTCGCTTTTTATTTGTAAACAATACTGAGTCGTGAGTATAGTGACTATTTGTCTTCCACGTCACAGTTGTCACAGCAGGAGTACGAGACGAAGGTATGCACAGAGTGAAGCTTGCTCTCACAAACACTAACATCACCTATAGCAATGTATTTTATTGGAAGATTTTAGTATTATGTTTCCATGCTACATGTGTTTGTGTTTATATGTAGACATGTTATATTATTTACCCAGATCCTTTAATTAATTATCTAACTTGTAAGATGGCTGAAGGTTAATCAGCAGTCACTCCAAAGTAACTCAACATTCACTGTTCACATTGTCCTATTCACAGGATACAGTACCTTAAATTCATGGTAACAGTATACTACATTTGCCTGTCATAAGATTCTCAATTCAGTGCTTAAAATGTCACAGATTCACATATTACAGTGTCCAAGATTCATTGCTTACAATGTCCTAGATGCACAGGTTACAGTGTCCTAGATTCACTGCTTACAATGTCCTAGATTCACAGATGAGTGTCCAAGATTCACTGCTTACAATGTCCTAGATTCACAGATAAGTGTCCAAGATTCATTGCTTAGATGTCCCAGATTTTACAGGTTATAGTGTCCCAGATTCAGTGCTAACAGTGTCCTAGATTGACAGGTTACAGTGTCCTAGATTGACAGGTTACAGTGTCCTAGATTGACAGGTTACAGTGTCCTAGATTGACAGGTTACAGTGTCTTAGATTGACAGGTTACAGTGTCTTAGATTGACAGGTTACAGTGTCCTAGATTGACAGGTTACAGTGTCCTAGATTCACAGATGAGTGTCCAAGATTCATTGCTTACAATGTTCTAGATTGACAGGTTACAGTGTCCTAGATTGACAGGTTACTGTGTCCTAGATTGACAGGTTAAAGTGTCTCAGATGCACAGATTACAGTGCCCTAGATTTTTCCCAATGCAACGACATTACAGTGAGGACGTAACACTGGAAATAACATGTCAATAAATGTATACTGAGTCGGCAATTTATTCCTCTAATTACACTATATGTGGTTATATAAAATGTTCATTCTGGACTTATGTTTGTAAAATTTCATTCAATATTGATTTCATTAAAATGTGTGAAGTGATCGGCAGATGGAACCATCGTACCGTTATTTACGGCAACCATAATCAAATTACTGCTACTTACGCCTTGAAACGATACATATATCATAAATGCCATACTCTGACTCGTTAAAAGTCATATTTACTTGTTATGTTTCTTTTATATGTCAACATATTGTTTTCGCTATCCAATATCATGACTGCGAGAAGCCTCAGACAGTAACTCGTCAAACTGTTCCATAAGTAAAATATTGGGTAGTTTTTACTGAATCACAGGTAAACCTTGGAGAATATGTGTGTACAGCAGATTGTTATTTCCAGCTTATTTTAGGACACCAAGACACACAGTAATCTTAAGCCCTGCATATGAAACAATACCTATCAGAAAAGGAAATACAATGAAAATTGTAAATCATCATGTCTAAGTTTCACGTTTTCAAAGACCAAGTTCGGTATCTCCTTTCCATTCACCCGAAGTGATATGATGTCGTTTTTACCTACGCACGATATATTCACGTGTGCACTACACTAGAAAATATGGCACTTTATGTATGCATGATCAATATTCAACTTCACACAACCTGTACAACACACTTATATATTATATATTATATATTATAAAGGAATTTATGTTGTATGCATGATAAATATTCACACCTCTTTTTAATGGAACATAAGGCTTAAAAAAATAAAAGATTTGGTTCTCAGGCAATGGCTTTTGAAAATATATTGCGGGCGGGCGACAGTTTGTTTTGTTTGTTTTTTGTGTTGTTTTTTTGGGGGGTTGGAGTGGGGGTTTGTTCGAGCTAGTGTATATGTAATCAAATTTTGTTTACAATAATTACGGTGAAATCATGTTCTTAAGTATTGTAGCATTTCTCTGCCAGGGGCATGTGTTCGAGACATGGAATAATGAAAGATTTAATTTTTTTTAAATAGAAATAAAAACGAAACTTGCTGCAGACTTCATAATGATGATGGCAGTGCCTGAGAACCAAGACTATTATTTGTTTTAGCCTAATAACTGTATTTATATATGTATACATGAGCATGTCCCATATTCCACTTCACAGCACATTAATATATCAGTGTGTTTGCTAGTTCTTGGGAGCTTTTTTTCATTTGAATTTTTTTGTGCATGCACATTTCTTTGTGTTTGTGTGCCTGCACACATGCTAGAGATAGTGTTCAAATGGTTCAGAGACATATATACTACTCGAAGTATATGAAAAAATCAGGTGTTCTATTGAGTATTACTGATCCTCAAAATTTGGCTTATCTACGGTCATATACAGTATATTTGATACCTGTGTGAAATAATTACCCATTAAGACTCTTGAGTGATATCTTATATATGTACAGGTATTTAACATGGGCAGATAAGTTAAATCCAAAGAAGGATGTTTCAGAATATATTGTTCATGTTGTGACCATTAATCATATCTAAGAGAGGTGGTGGAGTAGCCTAGTGGTTAAAGCATTTGACCATCACGCTGAAGGCCTGGGTTCGATTCCCCACATGGGTACAATGTTTGCTTCAAAATATTATTCTATGGAAATATATTTTTTAAGCTTAAAAGCCAGAGCAATTTATTTGCATGTTTGACGGATAAATGTCAATAGCTTTTGCAGGAGTAAGACAAAATATGATCATGTTTGCAAGTACATCCTTTTTCAAATGATTGGATATCCCTATTTATTAGTTGTTTGGAGTTAACTTTCCTTGAAGAGATTTAAAGACTGAGACAATACAGTGAATGAGTGAGTGAGTTGGGTTTAACGCTGCTTTGAACAGTATTCCAGTTATATCACAACATGTCAGCTTAATGTGGGAGGAAAGCCCGAAACCCAAACGTTTAAGGGGCCTGAAGTTAGCAGCAGGTTCGTTATTCGTTATTCGTTTTTCGAATAATGAAAAACAAGCCAGCATCGGGTTCGTTATGCAAAGGCTGTATATTAAACAACTACAGTAATGTGGTCAAATACTCTGAAACTCATTTAATATTTGACAGCAGATTCGTCTTACATCATCATCCAAAAGCTGTTTAGTTATTCAGTACTTTTGAATAACAAAAAACAAGTCAGTACCGGTTCGTTATTCAGTTTATGTCCAACAATTCTATTAAATATGTAGTTGTTTAATATACAGCTTTTGAATAACGAACCCATTGCTGGCTTGTTATTCGTTATTTGAAAAACGAATAGCAAATAAGGAACCCGCTGCTAACTTCAGGCCCCTAGACGTTTACCACTTTGGTGAAAGGTACAAGCATGGATATGGTGCTGACAAACCTGGAAACATAATCAGGCAGACCTGGATTCAAACCCCTATCATAAGTTCCTGGCATGCCCAAGGGACATAATTCTGCACTGCAAATTGTGGTGCCTAGGACGAAAAGGCCACCAGTGTCCCTAAGCCTACGCGTGTATAGGGATCTTACGAAATGATATTCAGAACCTTTGCTTATAAACTTTACAATAAAGATTTCTTTGCAGAATAACCTTCAATCACTGTAAAGAATTCTTTCATTTCTTTGCCTCATGCATGTTTTAGTATCAAACAAAAACATGTTATATGAAATAGTTGTACATATGGTTATTTATTCATAGTGTTTATACAGCCCTACCCACACAACTGAGTGCTTGATACCCTTGCTATTGGCTGATGTTACAAGAATGTCACTTGAGTCCATATAATGTTTTTGCCTGTCTTGGACCAATTTGATCATGAAGCATCTCGTGAAAGGCCACAGATAGCCTGGTGTTGTTATTGTTGCTGTTGTTAATCACAAAACATCCTATCACATGTATTAATAATGCAGATGTCATACACTGATATTCATAATTGTAATCTTATCAAAAGTCTTTAATGAAGTGTTTGTAAATCACAACAAAATGTCTTTCCTGAACATTGGTATAAAGAGGTTCATTGTGATTTCGTGGGGTTTGGTTTGCGAAAGATATATGCCAGTGTGACTTGTAGGATGGGATGTTTTCCATTGTCTTTCAGTGTCAGCAATGTCTTTTTAATATTGGAACATTTTTTTTCTGGAACTCCTAAAAGATTTCAGCTTAATATCTGCATGAGTGTTTCAGGTGACAAGAAATTGGAAAAAAAATATGGCCGTCAGGTGGCCATGTTTGTTTTCTCAAAACAAGTTTACTTAATACCATTGGCTGAAATTATGTCAGTAAGATTGTTAAAATACACATTTCTTACTCAGGTTCAAGGGTAAAACAAAATGGCCATTGCTAGCCATCCTAGATAAAGTAAACAATTTTTGAATAGCATGAGATTGGTCAGTGTATACTGATCTTCTATGAACGTTTACAAGCATTGACCAGAATGTGTTTACTCCCTGTGGACTACAGTGGACATAAAGTGAGGTTTGACAAGACTGGGTCATGTGATACTATCATAGTGTCCATCTTGACAGCTCCTATTGTGTGTGGCCTTGAAGATAGA